GGTGTGCAGCCTCTGGGCTCATTAGGGCAAATCCAGACCATGCACTGAAGAGGGGTCTGGGGCCAGGTTGCCCTACAGGGACGCATCTGCTCCACCAATGTCACCTCAGGCATCACAACACTTGCTCTACCAAGGGACAACCCAAAGGGCCCCAGCAGGACTTACCACCATCGCTGGTCAGCACCCAGCAAATGCTTTCTTCATCCTTCCTCTCTGGGAAGATACTACCATCAGGATACAACCCTCTTCTGCTACTCTAGAAGCAGTTGAGACACCAGTCACAAAGAGGAGGAGAAATTTCCTCTCTTTACAGTCAAATCCCCAACAGCTGCCTAGAAGGAACACAGCTCCCTGAGAAAGAAAGATAGATACAACGCAAACCTGCAGCCCACTTCCAAAGACATTAAACCAGTTTCTCAGCAAGCCCAGCCCTTTTATAATCCATTTCAGGTGAAACTTGTAGACATTAGCTGATTTGGGGAGATTCACATCACCTGGGAGCAACCTAAGACATGCACATTTAGTGCTTCATGGGTTGTGAAAGGGCTGTGTTGGCTTTTCAAGTGCAGCAGCCATGGCAATGTTCAGGGGGAGCTCAGCTCCTCAACGCGTAGATGCACAGCCACAAGTCATGTATAAAGCCTGATTTATAGCAGGCTTGGGGGTGTCACTGTGGGACTGGCTCTTTCCAAGGGCAGGGATGAGCTGCTCAATGGGACCCCAGCTCATGCTTCCCTGTCCACATCATATGTTTATGTATATATATTCATATACATATAGCATATATACCAATACCTGATCTGTAGCCCCATGATTTTGCACCCTCCTCATGTTATCCATCCACCAGCTCACCTAAAGGCTGACAAAATTACTATCCTCGCTTGGAAAGGGAGAAAGGAAAAGAGAAGGAAATGAAGTGATGCGACAGAGGCCAGCCAGAGAGTCAGTGTCGAAGGCAGAGCTAAACCCCATCTCTCCTGAATCACATCCTGGCCTAAGTCTCCATCAGGGCTGTTCCCACCCTGTATATATAGGGGACAGCTTTCCTTCAAAGTGTCCCATGGCTCTGCCTGTGTGAGTGCTGCCCCTGGAGTGGCTGATGGAGGTTGTCTTGGTGTCTCCAGGAGAGCTCAGATGCTCAAATGCTCACACATGAGCCCTCCTAAGGAATAGCTTAATCCCCATTTTACCTTCTCCCCTACCCTGGCAAAGCAGGAGCGATTTTCAAGGTCAGAACTTTGTTATTGGATAAAAGTCTTTAAAAAACCTTAGTAAACCTTCCCAGAACCACAAAAAACCAGAGTGGGAGAAAGAGAAGGAGAAAGGAACAAGCCTGGGAAGCTGGCTCTGCACTTTGCCCTGGCTGCCTGGGACAAGGGGCTCTTTGTTCCCCTGGCCAGAGCCTGCTGCACTAGCCCTTTTCAGTCTCCCTCCCTGGGAAAGGGGCCAGGGGGAAGCAGGACAAGCAGGGCAGGGAAAAACCCTGGGGCTGCATGAATAACCCCTGCTTGGACCCCCACCAGGATCCCCATCTTCATGTAGCCAGTCTATAGCATCTGCCAGAAGCAGCACTGGGAGTAAAAGGTGCACGGGAACCCCTCGGGTCCCTGCTTCCCATGCAGCATCCCTGAAAATGAACATGCTCCTGTTCTTGCCATGCAAGAGGTGTTAAACTTCTGTATCTTTTGGACTTCACAGTCCTAAAGCATCTACTAAAATGCATTGAAGCACCCAGGCAAGATGTAATCACCTGCCTGCAGCTTCGTGGAGCCACAATGTCAAGTGAGCCACATCATAGAACAGAATCCCAGACTGGTTTGAGTTGGAAAGGACTTTAAGATCATCCAGTTCCAACCCCCTGCCACGGGCAGGGACA